GGGCGCCGCCGTCCCCCCTCCTCCCCCACCAAGCAGGCTGCACCTCCCCTGCCTTCCGGGAGCTCGCCTGCTGCCCCTGCCCCACGGCACTAAGTGTCCAGGTGAGCCAACTTCCGGGCCCTTCTCTCCCAAGTCTCTCTCTCTCAGGTCCCACTCTCCTCTCTTCTCCCTCCATTTCTTTTGAAACATCCTCCAGGGAATCCTCCCAAACCCCACTCAGCTCTCCGGAGTTCGCTGCTCCCTGCACTTTCCCCTTGACCTTCAGGTCCTCCATTCTCCCTGCTGTCCTCCAACCTCCCACCTCCCGCTCGCCTTTCCCTCCCTCCCTGCCAGTCACGGGGGCCGCGGGGGGGGAGGGGGGATCAGAAGCTGCATTTATAATCAGGATCCACAGCTTGTCTCCCTCCCACGCCCGCCCGGCTTGTGGCCAGACTGGGACCCAACCTCCCCACACCCCGGAAGGCCTGGTCACCTCCCCACACCTTTCATCTTCTATCATGACCCCCAACTCAACCTCTCACTTCCCTTTCTTCTCTCTGAACCTCACCCCCTCTTCCCCCTTGCCACCTCCTTCCCAAACCACCCCGCTCCAACCCTCCCATCTCCTCACCCACTGGTCCCCAGCCCCAGTTCCATAACCCAACCCCTGTGGCCCTACACAGTGTTCATTTTCTAAATTCTGTCTGCCCTGGCACGCTTCCTACAGGATTCTGGCCACTCCTGTTGCCCTCAACTTGCTGGTCACCAGTCCCCAAAGTCCCCTCAACCTGTCCCCACCTCTCATTCCTTCATTACCCCATTCATTTCTTCCCTCTTCATCCTCATACCTCACAATAGTCCCCACTCTTATTGGTTCTGGTTCCTCCAATTCATCCTACAGACCCCAAACCCTGGGTCAATACCTAAAACCGACGACCCAAACCACCTCTCCCTGTGCAGTCACCATCTTCCCCCAGTCAATACCTCGACTTTACTCCATGGCCTGAAAGCCTTCTACCCAGCCATCTCTCCACACTCTTACTTGCCCCACAGACCTCTCGAAACTCTGGTTAACTTCAACTCCAGTTCTAAAACCTCCCCAACAGCTTTTGGGGCACATCTCTCACCACCTCTCCGGTCTGGTGGGCTACCTTATCACTCTCTAAAGATGGTCCTCCAAATCACTCCACTCCCTGACTCATTCATCTGGGCATCTACCCTTCATATTCGTACCTCCTATTTCTTCTGACGGACCCTCCACTGTGACACCCAGCTCCCAAATAGGAACCCACACTCTCCTGGCTCTCTAATCACCCTGCATGCCTACCGCCACCCACAGGAACCCTCTGCTCATGTCATGTCTTTCACTCTGGTAGTCCCTGCCCCTATCTCACTCTTACTGTTTTAGGCAACTCCCTCATCTCCAGGCATCCCCTCCCTTACGTTCCTTCCTGATGGTCCTGCCAAAAGCCCTCTCGGTGCCTCTCTAAATTCTGATCTCAGGTGCCTTCCCAGTCTTCACCGCTCTCCCCACCGAGATCCACTGACCTTTGTCATCTCTCCCAGGACCCTCCAGCCTCTCCCAGTTTCCCAAAGACCCCACTCACCCCTGCCTTTTCTCCGAGCCCCCCAAATCCCCCTCCCTGCACCCTGCACCATGATGGGAAAAGGACTGGGAGGCAGTGAGTCTTGCTCAGTGTGGGAAGAGGAAGGGTTCCCGAGAATCACTGTGGAGCTGATCCCTCCAAAGCAATCCCCATTTCTCCACCCTTCAGTTTCTCTTTCCCATCCTAACCTATCCCACAATATGGGCAGGTGAAAACAGGAGGCACCCCCAAATCTTCAGAACCTCATCTCCTCTTCAACACTGCACATGGCCCTCAAAGACCCCCAAGCCAAGGTGAGAGAATGCTTGCCCCTTTTCACATTCCAACCCATCTCAATGGCCAACCTCCTTCCACCGCTTGCTGATGTCACTCTTGTCAGTCTTCTCTGTGTCTCTCACCCTTTCACTAATGAGGGTCTCCCCATCTTTCTCTCTACATTCCCCATGGTACCCAGTGGTCTTTCCAACCTTCCCACCCTGCTCACCTCGTCCTCATCCAGCATGAGAAGCTGGTTCC